AAGCTCATGGTCCCTTTAGCGACCATTAATTTATATCAGAACTGTTTCCTGGGCGGTCCCCATTAAATTAATATCTGTGATGACCTGCTGACAAGCCGCTGATGACAGCTATTAACAAAAATTCCGGCCAGTCCCCCCCCACCCCGCACCGCTGCTGCCGGCATCTTACGCCTCTCCTCCCTGTCTGAAGACGCTCCAGGCAGGGAACTGTGTCTCTATGGATCCGCGCTGCTCTCCCCCGCTTGTATGTGCTGTGGCAGGGGGAACTGAATAGAAATGGCCGGGGGGGTCGGACGAATGAGACGCACGATCACGATGATCAAGCGGCATGAGAGAACAGCAAGAGGGGAGGAGAGAGGAGCCGCTGTCATCCTGCCAGTTTCAGGATGACAGTGGCTGTGTGCATGGCTGAGTGGGGGATCGGTAAACATCAGTGATATTACTGATCCTCTGTGTGAAGCACATACACTGGAGTAATCATCTGCTAGTACTATGTGTCCACAGTTATGAATGAGCAGGAAGTGATTTACATCACTTCCTGTTCATTCATGAATTTCTCAATGGGGAGACGCACTCACTACAGAGGCTTCTCCCCATTCAGAAACTGGTTGATTTTATTTTACTATCAACAGTTTCTGAATGAATGGGAAGCCTCTATACTGAGTGTTTTCCATTCATTTAGAACAGAGGCTGCAGAAAAAGAAACTGAGGACTCTGCGTCCTCAATTTCTTTGTCTGTTTCAAAAGGGAAATGTCAGGGGTCTGTTTAGACCCCAGATATTTCACTGTAGCCCCCCCAACAGTAAAACAAATATATCTATTTTTTTAAAAACATATTAAAAATAAATGAAACATTTAAAAAAAATGTTTTTCTCTAAAAAAAAACATTAATTTAACCATGGCAGCACATGGCAAAGCTTTGTGACACATTGTCGTGTGTTGTGATATGCTGTGTTGCAATTATATATATATATATATACGCCTGCATCATTGTATCATAACACCAACACAGTGCAAAAACGATTTTTAACATGAGTCGCTTAGTTACAGTTTTGCGTTCCTTCATTTTTTTTACCTTTTCTCAAAAAGGCACCATTTTACATTTTAAAATATTTGTTTTTTATTAACTCAATACAGTTTTATCTTTTAGATTTTAGTCAGAAAAAGTTTTTTGTGCGCTGATACTGATTTTATTGTGCTTTTGTGTATTTTTATAGGTTTAATATTAATTTGAGAAACATTTGCGCAAGTATCGCAGGGCCTACAAATTTAGTAGCACCATCTTTGTATTCTACTGGGCCTGAGCTTTCAGACAATATTTGGTTTGGGGGGGTCTTTTACAAATGCTAGCAATGCAGCAGTAGAAAATTAAATCAATAGGAAAAATTGCAAAAATGGTGTGGCCAGCTGAGGTGCAAAATGTTCCAGACGGCTTGGCAGTGAAAGGGTTAAAACAAATCTCTAGGATTTAAAAAGGTGAACCATTGCAGTGGGGCTGCCTATTACTTTGCCCTAGGGAGCAGAATAAAGAAGATGCACTCATCTGTTCCTTGGTCCTGTGGCAGTGACCTCTCACCTCTCTCTGGCTCCAATTTGCGGAATGAACCTCGCTGTCCTCTCATCTAATACAAGTGAATAGAACTTGCATAGACTTGATGATATCAGCATGCTTAGGCTTTATTATTTCAAAGCACACATTAAAAATTTTAAACATTAAACAATAGTACAAATTGACATTATGTAGTAAATAGGGATAAATATCTAAAAAAACTATATTTACTTCTGAAAGGTAATGTTTCTTCTATCTCTCAGGGACTTTGTTGGACAGATATCTGCATATTGTTCTGTGCTTGCACGATTGCTTGTCATATTATATAGAATTTCAATTGTCCATATTATTGTTTTTATTTTATATTATGGAGAATACAAGAAATGTTGGAACACACATAGGTCAGGAAAGAACGAACACTCCCAGAGTAGCCAAGAAATATAAGAACATAGCGACTCCTCCTGTGTCTAAAATATCACTGTTGGCACTGACATTTTAAAACCTAACTCCTGACAAGAGATTTATTTTGGTTTAAAGCTGCCCACACACCTTACAATGATCTGCAGATTGTCTGTGGTCAGATGGAAAAGGTGCAACAGATTCCTCCATCTACACTTAACTGTGTGGATGGAGTAATCTCCACCTGGGCCAATCTGTTGCACTTTTTCCATCTGACCACAGAAAATCTGCAGATAAATTGTAAAGGTGTGTGGGCAGCTTTAGAATATAGTTGTGGAGAGTTTAAACCTTCTCTCCTAGATAAACTATAGAACAGAATTCAGACTTTTACACCAAGTTTAAAAACATGATTTAAGGTTAAACTAATAAAAATGAAACCATGAATAATTAGCATAGTTACACAGTTTATTTTACAATCATTTGGGTATTTCTAAAAAGTTTATTCAAATGTACAAACTTATTTTATTTTACATACTTGCAAGGCAGCCATCTTCTAAAAATGTGCGTGGCAATACTAATCAATTCTATAAGAGAAATGAAAAAGGTATATTAAAACTGTCTTATGCATGAGAATGAAACGCTTTTAATTAATACAATAAGAATATGGCTTCTCTTCTCTGTCAAGTTTTTAAAACAAGATCTGATTTTATTTACATGTAAATATTGATCATATTGATGAATATGGCTTTTCCAGTGTGGGTATCTTCATGTTACTTAAGATTTGTTGTCTATGAAATATTCTTGCCACATTCTCTACGTAGTTTCTCTCCTGTGTGAATCTTCTGGTGTATAGTAAGATTAGAACTCTGTGAGAAGCACTTTCCACATTCTTGACACACAAATGGTTTCTCTCCTGTGTGAGTCTTGTGGTGTCGAGTAAGATGTGAACTTTGTGAGAAACACTTTCCACATTCTGAACATTGAAATGGTTTCTCTCCTGTGTGGATCCTCTGGTGTTTAGTAAGAGTAGCATTTTGTGAGAAGCACTTGTAACATTCTGGACAATGAAGCATTTTTTTTCCTGAGTTAATTTTCTGGTGTTCAGTAAGTTTAGAATGTTTTGAGAAGCACGTGCCACATTCTGAACATTGAAATGGTTTTTCTCCTTTGTGGATCCTGTGGTGTTTAGTAAGATTAGAATTTTGTGAGAAGCGCTTTCCACATTCTGAACATTGAAATGGTTTCTCTCCTGTGTGTATCCTCAGGTGTTTAAAAAGATGAGACGTATGTGTGAAGCACTTCCCACATTCTGGACATATAAATGGTTTCTCTCCTGTGTGAACCCTAAGATGAACCTTTAGGTGTGACTTATAAGGGAAACTCTTCTGGCACTCAGAACACTCATGGGGCTTCTCTCCAACTTTACTCATCTTGTGATAATGAAGTTCTGTGTAGCTGCAAATGTTTTCCACAGTAGATGATGAGTTGCTAATTGGGTTTATTAGTATACCTGTATGAAAAATAAAAATATATGTTTACACAATGTTAATATTAACAACAGAGTGACATAAGATATTGTGTTTTGAGATTTTTGTAACGGAACCACTTCCTCAGTGCCCACAGCAAAAAAAGAAGAAACAGAGTGCACTGAATAATGCAGAGAAAGCTACTGTAATAAAGATATATTAAAATGTATTAGATCTGGGCATATCACCTAAAATATCTCCCAAAGGAACATCAGGTCACAATTTAATAAGCTACTTCATTTTGCCATTTTACAGCATATAGATACCTGGAATAGTGTAGGATGAAGATATCTCAGCAGTTCCTTCCTCTCCTAACGGGTCTGTAATTATAGTAACTGACTGAGCTCACCCTCACCTTGAATACAATTCACCACAACTCACTAACGTGGGGTGATATTAGATTTGCTAAAAGGTTTAATTTACCTAACAAAAACCTTCTTTCCAATATTGGATAGTGTGATAATCGTTTGTTATTCGCTTATCTTTAGCAGCACAAAAATTGGCTCAATAGATACAAACAACAAATAACACAATGACTTCATTATCATTGGAAATGGTCAACAGATACTTTCTGTTTTTTTAAATCACCTCCCATCCACCGAACGCTGAAAAACGGCCGGACGGGAGTCTTCTGGATGTGGGTGGGCATCTTTTATTTAATTATATGTTTAATGTTTAAGTAGTAGTTGGGTTATCTGGTCGGGGACGGATCTACTCTTTTTGGACTCAAGCTGTCTTTTAGTATCTTTTTTCCTACTCTTTTTTAATACCTGTTTTTCCTTTCTTTAGGCTCACACACATGAGCCGTTTAGTACATTGATGTTGGACGGAACGTCTTCTATGTATACAGATATGGAGGAGGTCATACCAAATGTTTGCTTCAGACACAGGTGGATCCCTATGCCTGATATTCCTCTCAGATTGTTTTGATTTTGTTTTTGTTGATGGGGATAATTTGGCAAGAGAAGGTGAATAGATATGTTCTGTTTCACATAACTATTATGCATTGCGTGTATGGTTTCTAGTGATCTTCTCTTACTACCTGACTATGCTAAGTGGAAGAATCTGAGACGCAATTGTATGCTATACTGTTTGTGCATCATGTTCTATCTTATTGTTTTATTCCATCTTAAAAATGTAATAAAATACCTTGAAAGTTAAAAATGTGTGTGGCAATTAAAAATGTTTTTGTGGCTGCAATACTAATCAATTCTATATTAGAAATGAAAAAGGTATATTAAAACTGTTTTATGTTTGCATTACTGAGAATGAAAAGCTTTCAATTAATACAACAATAAGAATATGGCTTATCTTCTCTGTGAAGCTTTTAAAACAAGATCTGAGTTTATTTACATGCAAAATATTGATTATATTGATGAATATGGTTTCGCCAGTGTGTGTATCTTCATGTTTAAGATTTGATGTCTATGAAAAATCCTTGCCACATTCTCTACGTAGTTTCTATTCTGTGTGGATCCTCTGCTGTCGAGTAAGAGAGGAATTATATTAGAAACACTTGCCACATTCTAAGCATTTAAATTTTTTTTTCCTCTGTGAATCTTCTGGTGAGTAGTAAGATTAGAACTGTCTGAGAAGCACTTGTCACATTCTGAACATTGGAATGGTTTTTCTCCTGTGTGGATCCTCTGGTGTTTAGTAAGAGTAGACTTATGTGGGAAACACTTGCCACATTCTGAACATGCAAATGGTTTCTCTCTTGTGTGAGTCTTGTGGTGCTCAGTAAGATGTGAACTTTGTGAGAAACACTTTCCACATTCTGAACATTTATATGGTTTCTCTCCTGTGTGAATCCTCTGGTGTAAAGTTAGATGAGAACTTTTTGAAAAGCACTTTCCACATTCTGAACATTGAAATGGTTTCTCTCCAGTGTGAGTCTTCTGGTGTGAAATAAGATTAGAACGTTTTGAGAAGCACTTGCCACATTCTGAACATTGAAATGTTTTTTTTCCTGTGTGAATCCTCTGGTGATTAATAAAATTAGAACTGGCTGAGAAGCACTTGTCACATTCTGAACATTGGAATGGTTTTTCTCCTGTGTGAATGTTCTGGTGTTCAGTAAGTTTAGAATTATTTGAAAAGCACTTGTCACATTCAGAACATTGGAATAATTTCTCTCCTGTGTGAGTCCTCTGGTGTTGAGCAAGAGTAGAATTATGTGAAAAGCACTTTCCACATTCTGAACATTTGAATGGTTTCTCTCCTGTGTGAATATTCTGGTGTAAAATAAGACTAGAAATTTGTGAGAAGCACCTTCCACATTCTGGACATTTGAATGGTTTCTCTCCTGTGTGGATCCTCTGGTGTTGAGCAAGAGTAGAATTATGTGAGAAACACTTGCCACATTCTGAACATATAAATGATTTCTCTCCTGTGTGAATCTTCTGGTGTTTAGCAAGAGTAGACCTTTCTGAGAAGCACTTGCCACATTTTAAACATAAAAATGGTTTCTCTCCAGTGTGAATCCTAAGGTGAACCTTTAGTCTTGACTTAGAAGCAAAACTCTTCTGGCACTCAGAGCACTCATGCGGCCTCTCTCCAACTTTACTCATTTTGTAAAAACGAAGTTCTCTATAGCTGTAAATGCTTTCCACAGTAGGTGTTGAGTGGCCAATGGGGCCTATTAGTATACCTGTATGAAAAATAAAAATAAAAGTTTACATAGAATCCTATTATTAACAACAGATTGGCATCAGATATTGTGTTTTGAAGTTTTTCTAATTGAACCACTTCCTCGGTGCCCACAGCACCAAAAAGAAGAAACAGTATACTGCATAATGCAGATAAATCTACTTTAATAAAGATATAGTAAAAATTAAATGCACTAGATCTTGGCATATCACCAAGAGTAACCTCCGAAGGAACACCAGGTCACACAGGACCAGAGCTAAAACTTTCTCTCAAAATGTCCAGCAGTAGCAGAGGAGACACGCCAGGTGGAAAACTTTGCTGTGAGATCTGGAAATACCTTAATGAAGCAAACTTCAAAAATTACCAAAACTGGTGCAAAGGGGATCATATTTATAATCTTGGTGGGCATTCACTACACTGGCATGTTTTAGGGATGTTCCCCCTTAACATAGTCCCTGATGAAGGGACATGGCCCCGAAAAATGTCAGTATAGTAGAAGTGCTTGGGATTTTTTGTGCAGTTTTCCACCCGTCCTATCTCATACTGCCGGTCATTTTGTAAGAGCATTTTAGTTCCAGTCCTGTGTGTCCTGGTGTTCCTTTAGAAGATAATCTGGGTGATATGCCCTGATTTAGTCACTTATGAGTTAGTGCATTTTGTATTAGATTTTAACAAAGTAGTTTTATCTACACCCTTCCAGTGTGCTTTTTTTTTGTTTTATGTATCTGTATTTAGGCCTTTGGAGATATACACAGTTCTTGCAAAGGTTCCAAGAGTTGCTTGGCACCAGTGAAGTGCGATACATATGAAGTTTACATTACTGACTTCCACAGCTTTATGTAATGAAAGTCCTAAACTCTAACATAGTATAGATATATGACTTTACTGTTTTTATATCAATAATTCAAAGTGTACAAATATAGTTTATCATTCTGGTAACTACGGTCGCACGTCTTAGTTCACACTGCTCGATTCTTGTACGATCGCGGGATTTCGCCCGATTTCCGTACGAGAATCGAGCAGTGTATGGGCACCTTTAGTCTGTGGCCTTCTTATAGTAATGACGAGATACGATGGGGTTGATTAACTAAATGCAACTAGGCTGTTCACTTTGCCAGATAATTTTCAGCTCGCAAAGGGGATTTTCCTTTGGCTCAGTGATTGAGGTGAAGCTCTGCTGACTTTCCAATCTAATCAGCTACAAGCAATAATATTTTCTTTTTGTTTTCCTTGCACTTGATCAGGTATTCTTTTCAAAGTGAATTTCACCACTTTCACTAAGCTAAATATTACTTGAAAATATTCCAGGAAATGTTCCTTGCAAAGCGAAAATGAGACCTGTTGAATTAAAAGAGAACAAAAAGAAGAGAGGATGCAGAACCTTATAAATTGGCAAAAATATGTGGAAAGACGGTTGCACTTGAGGTAAATTTAGTCACTATCTTTCCACATATTTTTAGTAATACACGAGGCGTCGTTTCCTTCCTTTTTTCTCTATTACAGTATCATGGTTTTTTTTTCATAACCATGTGTGGAGTAGCAGCCCCATGGGATTTTATGACTCATGGAACATCACCATACTGTTGGATTGTACACGTTAATCATACTGAATTATGATAGATTGCCATCGTTTTGAAGTTTATTACAGTGAGGAACATAGAAGGTATTTTTAGATTTTTTTGTACACACGCACATTCATATCTCTCATTATATTATATCTCTCACTCCCTGATTGATTGGTAGATTAGATTAGGTTTACAGTGAATTTATGATGATGATGATTTACAAGTGCAGTTTAGAATGGTTACTTTAAAACTTTGTGAATTTTACCTTCAATTATCCAATTATGTTAAAAATGAATCCCTACCGACATTGAATACCCAATAATCTGCAGATAAAATTATTAAACTTATTTAAAAAACGCAAATGCAATTGCAAATGGTGAACAAAATGTATGTACAAGATTGCTAAAAAATGAAATTAAAAAAAAGACTGTAATACATTCAAACTGAAATTTGTCATAGTAAGCAGAAACATTTGAACAAGCTAATCAATTGCACCATTATACAGCATATAGATACCTGGAATACTGAAGTATGAAGATATCTCTGCAGCTCCTTCCTCTCCTTACCAGTATGTAATTCTAGTAACAGACTGAGCTCAGCCTCACCTTAAATGCAATTCACCACAACTCACCAACATGAGGTGATATTAGATTTGCTAATAGGTTTAATTTACCTAACAAAAAGGCATGTTTCAAAAATTGGACAGTGTGATAATCATTTGCTATTGCTCACCATCCCAGTCATAAGCATTTCAATACTGGGAGGGACTATAAACAAGAAGGATCCTTAACTTTAGCAGCTCAATAATTAGCTCAATAGATACCAACAACAGAAAATACAATGACCATTGTCACTGGGAATGGTCAACGGATTATTTGTGGTCTTTTAAAAAAATTACCCATTGTTTGCTCTGAATACTGTTACATAAAATATGTTTGGCTAAAATAACCAGTCACATTTTGTACCAATTGTATTCCCAATCCAGTTGCCCAATATGATGCTTGGATGAAAATTCAACATAATATGGTAACCTAAAGAGTTAACCTTTCCTCAACACAACACAGAATTTGCCATCACAGATCTTCTGAAAATCCCATTGCATGAGCAGTCTACTGACCCTCTGACTTTAAATTTTTTCTGAGTCACTTACCTTAAATAAGTACACTGATCAAGAAAGTCAGAAAACACTAATCTGTATGCCTTTTCTAGGTTAGTCAAGATAGATAGAAGATAGAAATCCTTTAGGAAACGGTTTTCACCATCAAAATTACTTGTTATCACACACATTGTAAAATCTCTGTCAGATGGGCTGATACCTAATGTTAAATATTTATTATTAAATTGTAGCAGATCCTGCAGTCACAAATTATATGTATAGTGGTACCCACACCCCTTCAAATAATAAACACATGCAAATAAATATGTTCGACTGCCTTGATACCACACTAAGATGCCATTTATTATACAAGTTTAAAACCAATGTTATTCACTTGTAGTGTTGCTTTTCATGTTCAGATAAAAGTGAAATTGACAATTAATATTCTGTGTTGGATTTAAAAAATGCTGCAAACAACTAGAATGTTCATGGGAAGATTTGAAGAATTGACCTATAAAACCCTTGGCCTCTGCAACAATAAATTCACAGTGGGCAGATTTTGCTGCCCTCATCCCTAGCAGGTTCCACCAATTAAAAAAACATAGATAATAAAAAAACATACTGTACATAAATAAAACAAATTAAGAAATACATTTTAAAATTTAACATTGAAAAAAACTTACATACAGTTTGACCTGCTCAAAGAGAGGTCTCTTATACTGGGACACATATAGCAGAGGCTCTAAGGTGGTGAGAAGAACAATTTACCCCCTCATATCTGTAAAAAAAATAAGTCAAGGCAACTGGACTTGCTGTATTTTTCTTGAAGACATTTCACTGGACATCCGACCAGCTTTCTCAATTTGATTAGCTCTCTTTTTGAGAAAGCTGGTCGGATGTCCAGTGAAACGTCTTAAAGAAAAATACAGCAAGTCCAGTTGCCTTGACTTATTTTTTACAGATATACCATGACCTGGATGAATGAGAAGCTGCACCACCTCCGACCAATATGGGGATACAGAGGTGTGTAAATTTAGTAATAGGTTTTATAGATTGAATCTACCTTGCAATAATAATGTCTGCAATAATCTAATTGAACAGTGTGACTATCCTCATCTTTACATACCTTGCCTTTACCATACCTTCCCAGTCAGTAATACTTTAAAACTGTGAGGAAATTTCCCAAGATGGAATCCTAATATCAAATGCATGAAACTGGCTCAATGGATACCAACAGGAGTTGGCAAAAAGATTTCAGTATCATGGAAATGGTCAACAGATACTTTGCGGTATTTTCCAAAGATCACTCATTGTTTTCTTTGAATTCTGTTGCATTAAATATTCATAGCTTTTTAAATTACCAGTCGCATGTAGTACAGCCATAAATTAACCCATTATATCCCCTATTAAGTGGCCGTATTTGATGCATGGATGAGGACTAAGCTTTATAAGAATACCTAGAGAGTAATGCTTTTCTAAAACGCACAAAGGATGTCACGGCTGGCCTATTATAAAGACTAGCTTCCTGGCGATTATGCTGATCCTCTGGCATCAATATATTCTTAATCACTTACCAGCAACAACTGTGTTGATCAGGATAATCTTTATATGTATACTTTTTCTAGGTTAGGGATTCAAATTCTTAAATCCAGAAGGTTATCATGCCTTTTGCAAGAATGATAAATTAGCAATGGCAGCCTCATTGTCTTTTGCAAGATAAGATTACTTTAACAATCAGTTCTCAACTTTAGAAGTACTTCTTATCACACAACTAGATAGAAAATATCTGTGAGATGAGCTCATACTGTCTTCTGCTTTTTGGAAGGTATATAGAATATAGGACCTCGTGATCCATTTGTTGACCAAATCAGCAGAGTAATGGTGGGGAGAGAAGTGTAAAAATAAAAGAAGTTCCCCCAATAATTATTACAGGGTAGCGGGCTCCTCTCTATGGCTCCAGATTTCAAATTATCAATCAATCCTATTTCCATTTTTTTGTATTTGATTTTAAGGGCAAACCTGAACTGAACTTTTTAAAAGAGTTTGTGCCCCCCTCCTCTTTTAAAATGATAATATTTAAAAGATAAAAGTAATATGCCATGTAAAACAAAACTGTTCTTCTGCATTCTTACAGCAACTGATCGTGTTCCAATTTAACAATTAAGCAAGAGTGTGATTAGAGCAATGAGATCATCATCTTCTCTTTCCTTGGCCTGAGGGCTCATTAGCACAGAAAGTTTATATATTAAAGTTCATACACATAGTTACATAGTATTTGAGGTTGAATAAAGACATAAGTCCATCAAGTCCAACCTATTGCGTGTATGCATTTATGTTTGAGCTGGCCGGTGTGTGCGTGTATACAGGTGAAACTCGAATAATTAGAATATCGTGCAAAAGTAATTGCAGTAAGTGCTGCAAAAGGGGCCCAAACCAAGTACTGAGTACATATGCATGCTTGTACTTTTCAGAGGTCCGATATTGTTCTATGTACAATCCTTGTTTTATTGATTGCATGTAATAATCTACTTTTTTGAGGTTGTGGATTTGGGGTTCTTGGGGTTTTCATGAGCTGTAAGCCATAATCATCACAATTATGACAAATCACTTGAATTATCTTGCTTTGCATGTAATGAGTCTATCTCATATATTAGTTTCACCTTTTAAGTTGCAATAGTGAAATAAATGAACTTTGCACGATATTCTAATTATTCGAGTTTCACCTGTATGAGTCCATGTGTGATTTTGCTCTTAGGAGTACCTGTACCCCTGTATGTTACGGTCTCCAAGGAACTCGTCTAAGAGTTTCTTGAATGATTCCACACTCTTAGCTGAAATCACTTCCTGTGGCAGAGAGTTCCAGACCCTAACCGCTCTAACTGTGAAGAACCCCTTGCGCCGTGTGTTGAAATTTTGTTTTCCACCAATTTTTGTTGGTGGACTTTGTTACGGAGCTGACCGTAAACAGTTTGTTAATAATGTTGATGTCACCATTGAATAGTTTATACAAGAAAATCCTGTCCCCCCTTAATCTCCTAACCTCCAAAGACAACATATTTAATTTTAACATTGTTTCATAGTTCAGGTCCTCCAACCCCTTAATGAGTTTGGTCGCCCTCCGCTGGGCTTTTTCTAGCTCAAGGATATCTTTTCTGAGTACCGGTGACCAAAACTGGACCACATACTCCAGATGAGGCCGAAACAGTGATCTGTAAAGTGGCAAAATTATAGACATGTCCCTGCAATACATTCCCTTCTTAATGCAAGACAGGACTCTGCTAGCTTTGTTTACAGCAGCCTGGCACTGCAAGCTGTTCTTCAATCTGCGGTCTACAATGACCCCCAAATCCTTCTCCATTTCCGACTTCCCTAGTGGCATACCCATAAGTGTATAATCCATTTGCCTATTTTTAACTCCAAAGTGCATTACTTTGCATTTAACGACATTGAACTTCATCTGCCATACTGTTGCCCACTCCCCGATTTTATCCAGGTCCTCCTGTAATGTTACAATGTCTAAATCCGTGTCTATTACCCTCCCGATTCCAAATTACCCTCCCCGACATCTTCCTGCAAGTAATCCAACGTCAAATCTCTAATCCATCTTACAGTGGGGGAGAAGTGGTGTGGATATTAGAATGAAGATCACAGGAGAAGCTTTAAGAAAGCAGACCATTTCTTTCAGCAAAATATCTGATACATTTCTTATAGATCACAGCCACTTTGATGTCATAATGTTCCAGTGAACTCGTCACATTAAATTCACTTGTTTGTGTACAGATCTCTGTATTTCTTTCTCCGATTCAAATCCGCCACTGATAATGCTCCATAATTAGGGATGCACAGATACTTTTCAAGTACCAGTGCAGATACTTGGCATTTTCATGAGAACTACCAGGGTTGCAGCGGTTGCAGCTGGGACCTGGCTCTGGCGCTCCACCACTGTCCTGAAATCATTAGTCTGTATTGTTTTAGAAAAACTGTCACATGACAATAAACAAAAATGTATCAGTACTCGTACTTGTAAGTACTCGGCAAGTACCAGTACTCGCAAAACTGGTATCTGTGCATCCCTTTATTTATATTTATAAAACAAAATCGTACATTAAAAACGGAGATGTACAAATCCCAGGAGCTCTGTGTGCTCCTTACAAATGACAGCTGCCTCCTAATATTTGAATTTTTCTCTAGTCTAGTCTTGGAGCTCAAAAGTATCGGTACATGTACTCTGTACTTGTACCGAGTACTGTACTTGGTATCTGTGCAACCCTACTCCATATTCATCAGATATCACCCAATGTTATTCAATCATGACAACAAGCATAAATACATTTGCATAAAGTAAAAGTTGCATGAAAGCAATATTACTTTGCTTAAAAGCAAACTTAAAATTATTTTATACATGTTACATAAATCAAAATGGTGTGCATCATAAAAACTAAATCATCATAACAAATTTGAGATAGCAAGTATCTCTTTCTTGTCATCATTGTGTTTTAAATCAAGAGACATCAAAGTGTATATTATTATCAATCTGACAGATCAATCTCTGTTCCATTCTGTTTTTGCGCATATATACGCTACGCAAATATACGGCTCCATACGCGGCTGTGTGTATGGAGCCATTTATTTGCATGTGTTGCATATGGTAGAATACGCACGTACGCGCGTATACGCGCGGCAGTGTGAATGAGGCCTTAAGGAAGCAGAATCAAGCTGTGTCATGCTTTATAATGGCTGACCCATGAACATATGTTATTATAACACACACATTAAAATGTTGGATTTTTAAAACATTAGATAATAGTACAAACTGACATTACGACGTAAATAGGGAAAAATACCTCAGAAACCTATATTTAATTCTGAAGGTTAATGTTTCTTCTACAGTATCTCTCAGGGACTTTGTTTAAAAGATATCTGCACATTGTTCTGTACTTGCACACTTGCTTGTCTTATTACATAGTGTTTCCATGCTTTATGTCATTACTTTTTATTTTATATTATGGATAATACAGGAAATGTTGGGACACATATAGGTCAGGAAAGATCTAAACATTCTCAGAGTATCCAAAAAAATACGAACATAGCGGCTCCACCTGTTTCCAAAATATCATTGTTGTGACTGACAATTTAAAACCTAACTCCTGTCAACAGTTTTGTTTTGGTTTTAGAATATAGTTGTGAAGAGTTTAAACCTTTGCTTCTAATTAAACTATAAAACAGAATTCAGACTTTTATACCAAGCTTAAAATCATTGTTGAAGGTTAATACCAAGAAGGATGAACACCAAACCACGAATGACTTTTATATCGACACAGTTTATTTTGTACACATTTGGGTATTTCTACACAATTTAATCCCTCATACAATTAACTTTTTTTTACATTTTCTCAATGTAGCCATTTTCTAAAAACTTGTTAGCCAGATCAAATAATTCTTGTGGCTTTAATCCTAATCATGTCTATATGAGAAAAGAAAAATGGTTTATTAAAAATGTTTTATGTTTCCAACATGCATGAAAATAAAATGCTCTCAATTAATACCACAATAAGGAGTCAGCTGTATTTTTGAGACCTTGAGCCCCTAATATGTGTCCTGTGTGGCCTTTCCAGAGATCGGTGTGTGTCTGTTATAGTCTTCTTTGCACAATGGCTCTCATGAACCTTCTGGCTGGAGTGCGGGTGACACAGGTTTATAAAAGACTTGTTACATTTGCAGATTTTGATATGGTTTCTCTCCTGTGTGAAGCTTTTAAAGCTAGATCAGAGATATTCTACAATTAAAATATTTATCATTTTAATTAGGGATACACAGATACCATTTTTTCGGTATCGAGTACTGATATTTATTTTTCAGTACTCGCCAATACAGAGTACCAATACAGGTACTTCTGGTAGCGTGGAACCGGCTTTCCGGGCAATCAGCATCGAGCAGGCTTCTTGGACAATCAGCACTGAGCTAGCTAAATGGCACTGAGCCGGATTCCCGGACAATCAGCATGGAGCTGGCCACAATTGCTCTTGTAAATAACAATCCTAAAAAATATCCCTCTGGAAAGTTCAATCATATATTCCGTGTTCTGATGTGCGCAAATGTGGAATCACATGTATAAAGTGCTCAAGATTTGTCCCAAGTTCACCACACTCTTTATCCTTCCACTGTGAAAAGTTCTTTATACAAAGTCTATGCATACATTGTCTCCTTATAACGCGATTATAGATCTGCTTAGGTCTACTTATATGGTGAGCGGCCCACTGAGAGGGGTGAGCTCCTGGGTGATATATGCAGTTGGTGTATGGGTCTTGTATAAAGAACTTTCACTGTGGAAGGATAAAAAGTGCGGTACACTTGGGACAAATCTTGAGCACTATATACATGTGATTCCACATTTGTGCACATCGGAACACGGAATATATGATTGAACTTTCCAGAGGGATATTATTTAGGATTGTTATTTACAAGAAGAGCAATTGTGAACACTTTGATTGCATGTATTGTATAGCACTTATTGTACAGATTTGTTATTTATTGAGCTGGCCAAACAGCATGGAGCCGGCTTCCTGGGAAGCTGGGCCGCGAGTCTGGAAAGCCAGCTTCATGTTCCCTCGGGGCACTGTTGGTTAGAGGAAATCTCCATCTGACCAAAAGTTCCGGTATCGGGGGTAAATATCAGAGCATTTGGGCGAGTATGAGTACTCACCCAAATACTCGGTATTGGCACCAATACTAGTATCGGTATAAGTGCATCCTAATCTTAATGAATATGGCTTCTCTCCACTGTGTATAACTTCATGTGTCTATGAAAAAGTCTTCTCACATTCTCCAAGTGGCTTTTCTCTTATGTGCATTCTCTTGTGGAGTAAGATGTGACTTTTGTGAGAAGCATTTGTCACATTCTGAAATTATAAATGTTTTTTCTCCTGTGTGAATTTTCAGGTGTGTAAGAAGACTAATCTTGTGAGAGAAGATCTTGTCATATTCTAAACATTAATAAGGTTTCTCTCCTGTGTGAATCTTCAGGTGCTTGGCAAGATTACCCCTTTGTGAGAAGCACTTGCCACATTCTGAACATTTAAATGGTTTCTCTCCTGTGTGAGTTCTGTGATGTGCGACAAGACGACGCCTTTCTGAGAAGCACTTGCCACATTCTAAACATTTAAATGGTTTCTCTCCTGTATGAATTCTGAGATGCCTGATAAAATGATGGCTTTGTGAGATGGACTTGCCACATTCTGAACACTTAAATGGTTTTGTTCCAGTGTGAGTCTTGAGATGTCGATAAAGACTAGCACTACATGAGTAGCACTTGCCACAATCTGGACAAATATAGGGTTGTTCCCCTGTGTGGATCCTCTGGTGATTAGCAAGATGAGAACTTTGTGAGAAACACTTGCCACATTCTGAACATTTAAATGGCTTCACTCCTTTGTAAATCTTCTGAGAGAAGCATTTGTCACATTCCAAACACCTACATGGTTTCTCTTCAATGTTAATATTCTGGTGTTTATTAAGAATAGGACTTGCTGAGAAGCACTTGTCACATTCTGAACATTTGAATGGTTTCTCTTCTGTGTGAATCCTCCCATGTTGACTAAGAGAAGATCTCTGTGAAAAGCACATGTCACATTCTGAACATTTGAATGGTTTCTGTTCTGTGTGACTCCTCTTATGTAGAGTAAGATGAGAACTTTGTGAGAAACACCTGCCACATTCTGAACAATTAAATGGCTTCTCTCCTGTGTGAGTCTTTTGGTGTATAGCAAGACGAAACTTCTGAGAGAAGCATTTGTAACATTCCAAACACCTAAATGGTTTCTCTTCAATGTGACTCTTCTGGTGTTTATTAAGACTATGACTTGATGAGAAGCACTTGCCACATTCTGAACATTTGAAAGGTTTATCTCCGGTGTGACTCATCTTATGTCGAGTAAGATGAGAACTTTGTGAGAAGCTCTTGTCACATTCTGGACATTTAAAAGGTTTCTCTCCTGTGTGAGTCCTCTTATGTTGAGTAAGACAAGAATTTTGTGTGAAGCACATGTGACATTCTGAACATTTAAATGATTTCTCTCCAGTGTGAATCCTCATATGTTGAGTAAGAGTAGACCTTTGTGAGAAGCACTTGTCACATTCTGAACATTTAAATGGCTTCTCCCCGGTGTGACTCCTAAAATGAAGAATTAGCCTTGACTTTTTTGGAAAACTTTTTTGGCACTCATAGCACTCATATTTCTCAACAACTTTAGCCATCTTGTGATAATGAAGATCTGTTTAGCTTTTTCCACGGTAGGTGTTGAATGGCCAATTGAGCTAATTAATATACCTGTATGAGAAATAAATACACATGTTTACACAGAATCTTAACATTAACAACAGACTCACATCAGATTGTTTTTTGAGATTTTTCAATTGAATCATATCCTCAACACCCACAGCATAAAAAGAATTGGAGCACTCTGAATAGCGCAGATAAAACTACTTTAGTAAAAATATATATCAACCAAATGCACTTACATAAAAGTGACTAGATCAGGACATATCACCAAGAATATCTTCCAATGGAACCTTAGGTCAAAAAGCACTTAAGTTGGCAAACTCTTACAAAATGGCCGGCAGTAGGAGAGGAGATAAGCCAGTTGGGAAACCATGCTGTAAATTCTTGGAGATGCCTTAGCAAAGTAAACCACAAAAGCGTTCCAACCTGGTGAAAAGAAAGGGAACTGCAACTGTAATCTTGGTGAACATGTATCTTTACTACACTGACATGTACCAGGGCTGTGCTCCTTCATCAGAATTACTTATGAATGGGCAGTTTCCATCTGGCTTGTCTCCTCTCCTACTGCTGGCTATCTTGTGAAGTGAATTCATGAGGATTATTTACTAATGTAGTAGATAATCTACACTTAAAAATTGTACAAATATTAACTTCAGTTACCCATTCCTCTTAAAAGTTAATTCATCCTCACTTTCAATACCCAATAATGTCCAGATGAGATAAACTTAATTGAACTCAGGAAATTCAAATGCAAATATTGAAAATGATCTACAAGATTGCTAAAAAAAGGAAATAAAATAAGACTAATAAAGAAGCAAAAACAAAGTGAACAAGAAACTTAATTGCACCATCATACAATATATAGATACCTGTAATAGTGCAGTATGAAGATATCTCAGCAGATCCTTACTCTCCTGACCAGTTTGTAATTCTAGTAACTGACTGAGCTCAGTCTCACCTTAAATACAAGTCACCACAACTTACCAACATGAGGTGATATTAGATTTGTTAAAAGGTTTAATTTACCTAACAAAAGGTATGTTTCCAATATTGGACAGTGTGATCATCATTTGCTATTGCTGACCATCCCAGTCATTAGCATTTTAATATAGCGATGGACTAGAACAGGAAACATCGTATTTCCACCTTTGTATCAAATTGGCACAAAGGTGTTTGATCAATGCAATACTGTATGTGTAAATATACTATATTGCCAAAAGTATTGGGACTCCCCTCCAAATCATTGGTTTCAGGTGTTCTGTGAAATTACTTGCTATAAAATATTTCAAGGTCAACTGTTGGTGGTATTATAACAAAGCGGAAGCAACTGGGAACAACAACAACAACTCAGCCACGAAGTGGCAGGCCACGTAAAATGACAGAGCGGGCTCAGCGCATGCTGAAGTGCACAGTGCTCAGAAGTCGCCAACTGTCTGCAGAGTCAATAGTTACAGACCTCCAAACTTCGTGTGGGCTTCAGATTGGCACAACAGTGTCTAGAGAGTTTCATGGAATGGGTTTCCATGGCCGAGTAGCTGCATCCAAGCCTTACATCACCAAGTGAACTGCAAAGCGTGGGATGCCGTGGTGTAAAGCACGCCGCCACTGGACTCTAGAAAAGTGGAGACGTGTTCTCTGGAGTGAACAATCACACTTCTCTGTCTGGCAATCCAATGGACGTGTCTGGGTTTGGCGGTTGCCAGGAGACTGGTACTTGCCTGACTGCATTGTGCCAAGTGTAAAGTTTGGTGGAGGGGGGATTATGGTGTGGGGTTGTTTTTCAGGGGTTGGGCTTGGCCCCTTAGTTCCAGTGAAGGGAACTCTTAAGGCATCAGCATACCAAGACATTTTGTACAATTTCATGCTCCAACTTTGTGACAACAGTTTGGGGATGGCCACTTCCTGTTCCAACAAACCAGTGCACAAAGCAAGGTCCATAAAGACATGGATGGGGGAGTTTGGGGTGGAGGAACTTGACTGGCCTGCACAGAGTCCTGACCTCAACTCGATAGAACACCTTTGGGATGAATTAGAGCAGAGACTGTGAGCCCGGCCTTCTCCCCCAACATCAGCACCTGACCTCACAAATGCGCTTCTGGAAGAATTGTCAAACATTCTAATAGACACACTCCTAAACCTTGTGGACGCCTTCCAGAAGAGTTGAAGCTGTTATAGCGCCAAGGGGCGGGCCAACTCAATATTGAACCCTACGGACTAAGACTGGGATGCCATTAAAGTTCATGTGCGTGTAAAGGCGGGCGTCCCAATACTTTTGGCAATATAGTGTATAATGTGGGGAATTTATCATGGCAATTGCGAGTGTTTGAACTTGCACGGAATATATTGGACGCACTGTGCTCCAGATTTATGTTGCTAGTGTAATGTTGTTCATAAATGAGGTTTAATAGACTCCAGGAAAGAAGTAACTCGTAACTCCGGGCAAAAAGCTTAACTGTCAACCCTTGAAGAAGTGGTCATGGGGACTTCTTAAGTTGCGATTGTTTTGTTACGTGATGATCCAGTTTTAGACAGCCGCAGGACAAGATATAAACAGTTGTGAACTTTCATAAAACAGGTGCAAAACACATGCAATTGGAAAAGTAGTGCAAGCTCAGGTCAAAACAGGCGCACCTGTTATAAAAAAAAAAAAAAGATCTAAGAGCATAAAACAGTTGCAATTGCTTTGATGAATTCCCCCCATTGTGTTTTCAAAGCAGACACTAACGTGAAGTAGTTCTCATATTAGAAGTCCAGCAATGGCGGATGTTTCCAAATTTCCCTCCACAGGACACTGAACTCATCCAGATGAGGAGTCCCTTGGATGTGTGTTGTAAAATAGAGATGGGAAGTGATGTCATCATAGAGTGACTTGTGTCCACAATGTCATGAGATGTGTGCTGATGTCGCGGGATTTGAGACACAGAGGTGCGAGAGATCTGGGATTTCCTGTCTCTCAGGAAGTCTCTCCTCCTTTATAAGTACGAGCGTGTGTTCATTTATATTGTAGCAAGAAAGGAGCAGGGGAATATTTCTGTCATGTTTGTATTTTTTCCTGATCTGTGCACACTATGTGTGAACGTGCGATTTACAATGTGTACAAATTCCTGCGATAGGAATCCCAAATTGACCGTTAAGTGGGTGACAGCGTACACTCCTAAAGTTAATGATTGGGTCACAGCAGCTGCATGTGAAAGCGGCAATACACATGTGATTGCATGTGATACTATTACATGTGGTTTTGAGTAGATCACTGTCGGTGAACGCATGCATCCACCAACACCCTCTTACATAGTTGCATTGTTCCTTGCTATGCTCATATACATTATTCATGACAGTGATCACTGTGGAGGTTCAGGAGAGGATTGAGCTGCATTTGGCTTCACATTACCCGTATCTGGCTGATGGCACAACAACAGAGATGTGAATTCTCAGGGAAATTTCTGTTAAACACATTTTGTGTTTTATTTTTGTCCATGATTTGTTTCCTTCAGAACGTCACTCAATCCTTATTCACTTCCTGGCACTCCACAGATAGTGATGAACGGCGACACAATGATTTGCTTATCTAGCACAGCCTGGGGGTTGTTCCTGGAGGGGGGCTCTGCACACTTTGCGCTTTCCCTGGTATGATATAAGGAATGTTAGGGAATGTAGTTTGAGATTTCCCTTATCTGTAGTGCTGGCAAAGAACAGCTCCGGAGCAAACAGCGAAAGAAACAACATTTTAAACCAAGGAACATGGAGAAGCAGAAAATAAGCCACTTATACAGGTTTGTGCTGCAATCATCTTTAAAAAAATACATGTTGTGTACATTGCAAACATATGGGTTTTCTTTTAGAACTCCAAAAACAAGGTGGAATTACCCTTTCAGCAACCTGTTGTGGAACTACAAGTCTCCTGATGCATTGAAAGACTCTGACAGTCACAGGAATGACTCCCAGAGCCAGATGCATGATGGAATTTGTAGTTTTCCCGTAGCTGGAGTGCCATAGCTGCCTGCTCCGTAGTGTAAAAATAAACACAACACAGAGTGTATTTCTACCTTTGTATGAAAGTGACACAAAGGTGTTTGAGGAATAGAATCTGTGTAAATATAATGTGTATCCAAAGCAGACACTGACCTGTGATGTAGTTCTCATATTTTCAGTTCATATTAGAAGTCCAGCAATGGTCCAGCAATGGCGGATGTTTCCAAACTCCCTCCACAGGACACTGAACTCGTCCAGAGGAGGAGCCCCTTGGATGTGTGTTGTAAAATGGAGATGGGAAGTGATGTCATCATAGAGCAACTTGTGTGCTGCTGTCACAGGATTTGAGACACAGATGTGTGAGAGATCTGGGATTTCCTGTCTCTCAGGAAGTCTCTCCTCCTTTATAAGTACGAGCGTGTGTTCATTTATATTGTAGCAGGAGAGAGGAATCCGTTCCCCAGATCTCACTTCACAAAGAGATCCTCCATCTGATCAGCTGCTGTCTCTCCGCCTTCAGCAGCATTGTATTGAAGTTCCCTGCTGTCACTGTCTCCTGCTGCTACGGCTGCCTCTCTACCTCAGCTCCTGGTGTACACAAGCAGCCATGTTTTATAAACAATGTGCTGTACTGTGCTGCTGTGTGCTCAGCTGACATCTTTACAGAGGCCGGCAGGAGGTCTGGGAGGATGATGTATACATTCCTCCTCTCTCCCTCCCCCCCTCCCCGGGAGGTATCACAGTGACAACTAGCAAAGGGAGAAGGAGGCTGAACATTGAAAACTCCAACCAACAGGAACTAGATTGGAAGAAGTCTGCTCGTATCTAGACGTGTGCGATTCGTTTCGTTCCGAATCGAAATTCGGACGAATTTTCGGAAATTCGTAGATTCGGATCATCCGAATCTCCGAAATTCGAATTTCCGAATCGAAAACGAAACCTCCGAATCCGAACTTTCGGATCCGAACTTTCGGATCGGAATTTCGGATTTTGACCCTTAATTTCG